GGGTTAAGTATGTTGTGGGATACTAAGGAATAAACTTGTTTGTGAATTAATTTTTCAAAGATTTTAGATAGGGGCAAATTTGATATAGGCTTATACATGTAGTTGTTCAGTTCCATTGGATCACCTCCTTTGAGGATCAGGGTGCCTATAGTTGTTCACTTCCATTGGATCACCTAATTTGAGGATCAAGGTGACCTATGCTATCTTGAGTATGGATGGGAAGGGGGAAGATTCAGTGGATTTGTTAAAGAGAGTTGCAATAATTGGTGACAACACATGAGAAGCTTTTTTATACATGAGTGGTGGTAAGTTGTTTAGGTCTTCTGTCTTGTTCTTTAGATAGAGATTTCAGTAGGGTTTATTGTGGCTAGAAATAGAGTATTTGGGTGGTTACCAGTGAGGTAGTCTTTTGGCTTAATGTTTGTGTTTGGGATTTTACTTGCTAGCTTTGTTCCTATGGTCGAGAAAAAGACATTAAGTTTGTTGGCAGTATCTGTTGGCTGGAGGAGAGGTTCTTCTGGTTTCGTTAAGTTAATCGCTCTTGTGAGACACCTTTTTAGATCCTAGCATTTCAGATAAAGTTTTCCAGGTCTTTTTCATATCACCTCTTAGGTCATGAAATCTGGTTACTGTTGGTGGCCCACTGGTTCACATACTCATCACAGTCTGGTTGATCTGGGACTTACCTAGGTAGTAATCCAGTTTCATTTTCAAAACTTGTATACTTGCTTAGGCAATATTTCTGATATCTGCTTTCCAGTAGTGGTGGGGCTCAGGGTCCTCAAAGCCCCTTCCCTCTTCTCCCCACCTGAGGCAAATGCTTTTTCTTTATTTTTCCAGTTATTGACTAATTTTCACTGTATTGTATTGACCAGTGACCATGAAAGAATGATATTTTAAGAAATTTCACATACTGTACATATAGAAAAACATGTTTTAAAAACTATTTCTTTGAATTGAAATCCTGGCTGTGTTACTAGCCCATGGCATTCCTGCTTTTTCACTGGGTTTATTTTACATTTCCAATGTTTCTCGCCCCATTACTGTATGGTAGTGTATAGAGTTGGGACTAGACCCTCAAGTATCTTCCATGTGCACCTACCATCCGACTTACGACCTGCTTGACATATGACCACTCGACTTACGACCATGTGTTTTATGGCAGATTTCTGGGAAATAAAAAAACTGTTTGTGTTGTACACAGTGTTTATCCTAAACCTTATCGTATAAAATACAGTACTAACAGCATAAAAAGTAAAGTAAAAAATGAAATACCAAAATAAAACAATAAAATAAAATCATTACAAAAGTGTGATGTTGATATTCAGTAGCGAGGTTCGACTTACGTCCATTTTGACTTACGACTGGTTGGCCAGAACCAAGCTTGGTCGTAAGTCGTATGGTACCTGTATACTGTATCAGGACCTTGAAGACTGCTAGGGGATATGTTGTTAATTCCCCATGTATATGAAGGGAGGGTGTTGAAAACTTGCTCATTTTGCACTTATGTTTTTTTATCTCTTAATATGCTCATTGCAATTTTGATTTTCATTAGCCCATCTTGAGCCATTGGCAATTTTGCTTTATATAGGTAATTTCCATGTATTGATTTGGGACCAATCTTTCAGGTGTAAATTATGATGCATCTTTCTCACATACATTCCACGGAATACATTTCAAGGGACTTAAAGCAATTCCAATTATTTAAGCGTTTGACTGTATTTATACGGTTAATAAAGATTTTGTGTACATTGTCCAGATCTGCAATTTTTGCCTGTTTTAAAAGGGATTATTAGTGTATGGCAGTATTTCAGTTTAGGAGAATACTGTACACGTATATACTTGTTTTGAATGTATGTATGTACTTGTTACCCAATCTATCACTTAACTGTGGTTGTTAAAAGTAACACTGTTGTGATCCTTGAATATAACATTTATCACTAAGCTGCTATGTAGCAAGAGGCTAGATAGGAGTGCAGAGGTTTACAAAAAAACTGATAGAGATAAGGCTGGGAATGTGTTCAGTGTTCATTTTTATCCTTATCTGTAATGCTGCAGTATCATTTTGACACCACATATATACAGAGATCACAAGATACATACCAGAAAAATAGGAATGAATAAGAGTTTGGAAAATTATATGAGAAAATAGGAATGTCCTCAACAAATAGGAAAAATGAGAAATTTGACACCCTGACATTATGAAATACAGTATTGAAGATTGAGACACTTATGCAGCATATGGGAATCTTTATTCAGGAAACGTTTCGCCACACAGTGGCTTCATCAGTCAAATACAAAGAGGAAGGCGTAAGGAGAGGAGTATAAGAACATAAGAACGAAGGAACACTGCAGAAGGCCTACTGGCCCATGCGAGGCAGGTCCAAGTCTCCTACCGGCTTAAGCCAATGCACCCAACCTAGTCAGGTCAGGTCACATTGACTTAGGGGAGGAACACGGCAACCGACCTGGTAGCACAAGCTATCAGGTCCAACTCACACCCACCCACATCCACTCATGTATTTATCCAACCTATTTTTAAAGCTACACAACGTTCTGGCCTCTATAACTGTACTCGGGAGTTTGTTCCACTCATCCACAACTCTATTACCAAACCAGTACTTTCCTATATCCTTCCTGAATCTGAATTTTTCCAACTTAAAACCATTGCTGCGAGTCCTGTCTAGGCTAGATATTTTCAGCACACTATTTACATCCCCTTTATTTATTCCTGTCTTCCATTTATACACCTCAATCATATCCCCCCTAATTCTACGTCTTTCTAGAGAGTGCAGATTCAGGGCCCTTAGTCTATCCTCATAGGGAAGGTTTCTGATACATGGGATCAACTTTGTCATCCTCCTTTGTACATTTTCCAGAGAATTTATATCCATTCTGTAATACGGTGACCAAAACTGTGCAGCATAATCTAAATGAGGCCTAACCAAGGATGTATAGAGTTGAAGAACAACCTGAGGACTCCTATTATTTATGCTTCTTGATATGAAGCCAAGGATTCTATTAGCTTTATTGCGAACACTTATGCACTGTTGTCTTGGTTTCAGATTACTGCTAACCAGAACTCCTAAATCTTTTTCGCAATCCGTAATATTAAGATCTACATTATTTAGTTTATATGTGGCATGGTTATTGTCCTGTCCAACATTTAGAACTTTGCATTTGTCTATATTAAACTGCATCTGCCACTTCTCCGACCACTGCATCAGTCTATTCAAATCTTCCTGGAGTGCTCGAATGTCCTCGTCAGAATGAATTCGACGGCCTATTTTGGTGTCATCGGCAAACTTGCCGATGTCGCTCTTTATGCCCTCATCTATGTCGTTTATGTAGATTGTGAACAGCAGGGGGCCCAACACTGACCCCTGTGGAACACCGCTCGTGACGCTTCCCCACTCTGATTTCTCCCCATTTATGCAAACTCTCTGCTGCCTATTTGTCAACCATGCCTCTATCCAGGAAAAAATTTCTCCTCCTATTCCATGTGCTTTAATTTTCCTCAATAGTCTCTGATGTGGGACCCTGTCAAAAGCCTTACTGAAGTCCATATACACAATATCATATTCATTACCATGATCTACCTCCTCAAATACCTTAGTGAAAAAAGTTAATAAATTGAGTGGGCCTATCTTGTCCCTGGTCTTACTTCTGTATACCTGAAAGAATCCTTTTGGGTTAGTCTTCGATTGTCTTGCAACTTTAACCTCATAATCTCTTTTTGCTTTTCTAATTCCCTTTTTTATTTCTCTCTTTAACTGAATAAGAAATCGATATATTCAGTTAAAGAGAGAAATAAAAAAGGGAATTAGAAAAGCAAAAAGAGATTATGAGGTTAAAGTTGCAAGACAATCGAAGACTAACCCAAAAGGATTCTTTCAGGTATACAGAAGTAAGACCAGGGACAAGATAGGCCCACTCAAAAGTTCCTCGGGTCAGCTCACTGACAGTGATAAGGAAATGTGTAGAATTTTTAACACATACTTCCTCTCAGTTTTTACACAGGAGGATACCAGCGATATTCCAGTAATGATAAATTATGTAGAACAGGACGATAATAAACTGTGCACGATTAGGGTCACAAGTGACATGGTCCTTAGGCAAATAGATAAATTAAAACCTAACAAATCCCCAGGCCCTGATGAACTGTATGCAAGGGTTCTAAAGGAATGTAAAGAGGAGCTTAGCACACCTTTGGCTAATCTTTTCAACATATCACTACAAACTGGCATGGTGCCAGATAAGTGGAAAATGGCAAATGTGATACCTATTTTCAAAACAGGTGACAGGTCCTTAGCTTCGAACTATAGACCAATAAGCCTAACCTCCATAGTGGGAAAATTTATGGAATCAATAATTGCCGAGGCAGTTCGTAGCCACCTTGAAAAGCATAAATTAATCAATGAATCTCAGCATGGTTTTACAAAGGGGCGTTCCTGCCTTACGAATTTATTAACTTTTTTCACTAAGGTATTTGAGGAGGTAGATCATGGTAATGAATATGATATTGTGTATATGGACTTCAATCTTGTATCATCAATCTACAAGATTGATGGACTGAACACATCGACTCCAGGCTGAGGGACTGATTACCTCATACTCCTCTCCTTATGCCTTCCTCTTTGTATTTGACTGATGAAACCACTGTGTGGCGAAACGTTTCCTGAATAAAGATTCCCATATGCTGCATAAGTGTCTCAATCTTCAACTTGTCGGTTTTTCAAACCATTCATCACAAAATACAGTATTAACCAAATGTTTTAATTTGCATCTCTTGATAATGTGCATCCATTTATTTCTTAATAAACTGTGCTACTAATTAATTTCACAAATATTCTAGATATTAATGAGGGATATCATCAAGCTCATTGGTGTGTGTGTGTGTGTGTGTGTGTGTGTGTGCATGTGTGGGGGAGGGTCACTAGGTAGGTGTGGGTAGATCAAAAGCACTGTAACACTGTACTAATGTGTTTGTACACCAACAGCTCCTCCCAAGAAGCTGCAGCACTCGCAGTCTCGCTCTTCCCTCTCACCGCCAGCGCCAGGAGGAACTGGACGATCCAAGCTCCTCACAAATGGTAATTTTTGTTTAATTTTGTATTCAGGTCATCATTTGTTTTGCTCTCCTTCCACAATTCCCTCAGCCCTCCATCAGACAAAATGAAAGCAGCGTACATAAGTGCTAATTAGTAATGTACATAAAGACTAAGTGTGATATAGTGCTTTGGACCAACATAGCTTGTAGTGGGTGATGGCAAATTGATTTTACTGCAAAAATACATAGTTTGTAGAAATGATATATTGATTTGGATTTACATTTTTCTACTTAAATAAGACTTGTGAAGGAAGACAGTGAAGCATTTAGGTGAACATCAGTTATATATATCTGCTCAGATCAAGTTAGCAGGGAATAATAATATTTCATGTTACTCTTGTCATCAAATTTTGTTCAAAATAAGCAGTTCTGGAGTGAGAGAAATATAAAAAAATAATGACAGTAAATGGATTTAGATGTGAAAATGGTGAGATGCTGGACAAAGAGAGAGAGAGAGAGTGAGAGTGAGAATGAATGAATGAATATATTTTTTAGAAATTGATGAATATAGATTATGAAGGAAAAAGTTTCATATTTGGAACTAGGAGGAACTAGAACTATTAGAATGAGTGAAGACCTGTAAGTGAATATGAACAAAATGTGTGAAGCCATTAACAGGTTGGAAGTAGGGAAAAGCAGCAGGGATAGATGCATGAGAGGAAAAAGGGATGAGTGAAATTGTAAAAATTTTAGGGAAATAAATCTGTTGAGCTTACTGGCTAGTGTATGTCTTTTTTTTTTTCAACAAACCGGCCGTATCCCACCAAGGCAGGGTGGCCCTAAAAGAAAAACGAAAATTTCTCCTTTTAAATTTAGTAATTTATACGGGAGAAGGGGTTACTAGTCCATTGCTCCCGGCATTTTAGTCGCCTCTTACAACACGCATGGCTTACAGAGGAAGAATTCTGTTTGTATGTCATTAATGTATCTAATAAAACGACTGGGAAAGGCAGAGTATAACAGTAGTTAGAAAATAAGTGGGATGTGTGACTAAAGTTTTTAGAAAATAAGTGGGATGTGTGACTAAAGTTTTTGCATTAAAGCACATACAGGAGTAGTACTCTATATAGATATGGGAAAGGGTCTGTTAATTGTATTTATGGATTTAGAAAAGATATATGATAGGATGGATAAGTGAGGTGGTGTTACTATTATATAGAAGAGGAGGTAAGGACTTGTGCATGTAGATAAAAAAAGGAAAAATTTTCTAGTGAAGTGGTAAAGTATTTTATGCAAGGATGTGTCACTCTCCTTTCTTTGAATCAAACCAGATTTCCTCCTCTTCCAAAGGTGCTGTGTGATCACAGTGGATTTAATGCTAACCCATAAATAAAAGAATAATAATAATAATAATAATAATAATAATACAGTAGTAATAATGTGTGTCTGGTTGATTAATGTACGTATATAGATAAAGTTGTATAAGAAGTGACAGTAAGATAATGACTTGATATAAGTGATATTAGTTTATGCAGTATAAATGTTTGTATACATTAGAGTGTGTAATGTAGTTAAATAACCTTTATCTGACTTCCTTAACAAGTCTCATACAATATTAGAAATTTTTATTCTTCAGAATTATTATTTTTTCCTTATCTGCTGCTGTTTTATAGTTACCATTAGCACTGTAGAATCATCTCTAATACAAATATTGTGCCAGTATAAATGTACACAATAATTACAGACAGTCTATAGAAAGTGCAGTAGTTTGAAATGTTTTTACATACAGTTAGTCAGGTAAAAAGACTATAGAAAGTGCAGTACGTAGTTTGAAATATTTTTGCTTATAGTTAGTCAGGTAAATGACCCTGATTGCTTAAAAGCACACTCACCTAACTTACCTAGTCCTTAACATGTACAGTAGTTAATAGTTCCCTGTATCCTGGAATCATAGGCACCTTTACATCGTACTTCAAAGGAGTGGGAGATCCTGGTCTTCCTCCCGAGCGTCCCTCCCCATCTCGCTCAGTATCTCCTCGTCGGAATACCCACGTATCCCAAGCCCATACCCTGAGTCCTCTTTATGCCTCATCCTCTCCTATTGGTGTGACTCATGGGACATTCACACCATCACAAAACTTCATATGCTCTCCTGTGGGTGGGTCTGGGAGAGAGACATCCTATGGTACACCACCCACAATCTCCCGCCTGACACCCTTACCTGCTCCTCCAAAGAGTAAGTTTCATATACCGTACTGTAACTTTAACAAATATCTATATATTTCAGGGAATATGAAGTACTGTACATTTCAGTAAATTAACGCACAACCAATAGATGTGAAAATTATTTACTGGTTTATAACATCTTCATGGAGCTCAAAAACAGGCTACCTATTCCTATACAGTACTGTACATGCTTTTAGGTAATAAAGGGATTGCTATCCAATAACCCACATGAGTGTTAATAGAAGACTGCTTCTTAATATTATAGGAAAAGCCTTAGAGCTTGTGCTTATTATAAAAGCTTTGAATTCTTTACACTGTGGGAGCTAATTTATCATCTATACTTTGCTTTGCGGGATTTAATTGACACTACAGTTTACTAGCACACAACGTCAACCATTAGGTTATAGCTGTAATAACCTGCCAAGTATTTTGCTTTTAACACAGAAATACCATAAGGCTTTATAAGGTCCTGGAGCTATAAGGATTACCAGTGCTAACTTGCTATGGTATCGGGTGCTTCAGGTGTGGGTGGGACTCCTGCGAGTGCCCGGCGGCGGGGGGGTGTCAGTCCTCGTGGCCCCCCCCTATCCCCATGGTCAAGACGTGTTCCACGCCCTAACACCGTCAACGTGGATTCCTCACAACACCTAACAGGTACACAGTCAGATGACATCAGCAACAGCTTATCAACAGGAAATGCTGGGGAAATTTTGGAAGAAAAATACAATATAGTACAGTCATGCTTTATAGCCAAAATGGTTAAACAAGCCGAGTTTTCTTTAAAAATTTTTTGTATTAATAGATGGTGTGCATATACGTAATTAGGAAAATTAGTATTGTATGCAATTTTTTTTTTTTTTTTTTACACCAATACTAACTTGGCAAACTTGCTAAAATATACATAATACAGAATAGTATATCTTGATTCTCCCCATTGTATTAATTTTGTGATATTCAGACCAACCTATTTGTGGAGTTATAGCTAATATCAATACATGTTCAGCTTGGAAAAAGGGAGAAATGCATTATAACACGATTCTTTGTTAATAGTGTTTTGCTCGCACAGTGAGCTTTATCAACTCCAACAGATCTTCCTGGGAAGAGAGGATGTGCTCTTGTATATATTTTATGTATGTATGCAAGACAACCGTGGGGGAGTTGTTTTGCTTCTTGCATCACTTGTTTGTGAATTTTTTGGTCATTTAGAGAGGATGGAGCAAAATAGGTCGACTTGGAGGGGTAGGGGTTGCCCTAGGAAAGGATGGAAGGAGGGGTAAAAGAGGTTTTGTGCAAAAGGAGCCTGAACATGAAGCAGGGATGTGTGGGTGTTAGACAGGAGTGAATGGAGGCGAATGGTTTTTGAGACCTGATGAGCTATTGGAATGTGAACAGGGTAATATTTTGTGAAGGGATTCAGGGAAACCGGTTAACCGGACTTGAGTCCTGGAGGTGGGAAGTACAGTGTGTGCACTTTAAAAGAGGGGTTTGGGATATTGGCTGTTTGGAGTGACATGTAAACTGTCATATGACAGTTTAGAAGATGATGATGATGGTGAAATTTTATATACAGTAGGGCCCCACTTATACGGCTGGTTAGGTTCCAGGCTACCGCCATAAAGCGGAAACCCCCGTAAAGTGGAACACCCTTTTTTTCCACTTACAAATGCATACAAACACTAGATAACAAGTTTACACTAACATATATTAAGTCAGCAATAGAACCAGGCATCAAAAAACAATAAAAAAGTACAATACACACATAGTGCACTCATTACTTACCTTAAAATATTTATAGTCTTAATCTAGGGTGAGAGAAGTAGTATTTATTGTAAGAAATCAAGTGTGGTATGTATGGTAGTCAGCCAGGCTACCATACCAGGCCACCCCACCCACACATACAATTCTATGATATTTAAGCATCCCAGAGCGATAAAATGTATATACAGTTCACTCATTACTTACCTTAAAATATAGGGTGAGATGAGTAGTATTTATTGTAAAAAATCAAGTGTGGTATGTATGGTAGTCAGCCGGGCTACCATACCAGGCCAACCCACCTACACATAATATTCTATTACATTTAAGCATCCCAGAGCGATAAAATGTATATACAGTTCACTCATTACTTACCTTAAAATATTTGTAGTCTTAATGTAGGGTCAGGAGTAAGTAAATGAGATAAAACGAATAAATGAGAGAGAGAAAGAATGAGTGCATGAGAGAGTACAGGCGCAGAGTTATGTAAACAAACCAGGCGAAGGTAAGTTTTGTAAACAAAGTGTACACGTCTGGTTTGTGTACAAGTTACATTGTGTAAAGGTTGTCTCTACATTGATACGGTAGAATAAATAAAGAAGAACACTCCCATTCTCATGTAACATCATTTTGAGAAGAAATGATGCTCTGAGTGAAGGCAATGGAAATAAGTCACTCTGACTTGTTTGGGTTATCCTAGGTTCTCTACACATATGTTATGTATGATAATCTATGTAACTGTATTTGTGTATACCTGAATAAACTTACTTACATACGAAAAGAATAATTTTCTACAGTTACCCCCAGAAACACATTTTCTCTTATGTTAGAGAAAATGTTATTCTTGGCATCACTTGTACAAGTTATCTGGCTACCACATCTCATATTTATGTTTATTTATTCTATTGTAGGGTGTATTTATCATCTTTTTATGTTATGTATCGTGTTTATTATATAATTTTGAAAAAAATATCATGGATGGATTAATGAAAATGTGTATATTAACGTAATATACAACATTTAATGAGACTCGATAATTATTATTATCATTACTAATATGACGTCTGGAGACATAAGACACTCTTACTGATTTTAATGTGTACCTGCATGCCAGCACAGTGTGCAGATGATAAGAAAGAGATGATTGTGGATGTTATGAATGAGAAGAAGCTGGATGTCCTGGCTTTAAGTGAAACAAAGCTGAAGGGGGTGGGAGAGTTTCAGTGGAGAGGAATAAATGGGATTAGGTCAGGGGTTTCAAATAGAGTTAGAGCTAAAGAAGGAGTAGCAATAATGTTGAAGGATAAGCTATGGCAGGAAAAGAGGGACTATAAATGATTAATTCAAGGATTATGTGGAGTAAAATAAAGATTGGATGTGAAAATGGGTTATAATAAGCTGTATGCACCTGGAAAGAGAGAAGTGTAAGGAGAGAGAGAGATTTTGGAAATGTTGAGTGAATGCGTGGGGAGTTTTGAATCAAGTGTGAGAGTAAGGGTGGTTGGGTTTTTAAATGCTAAAGTGGGTAAAAATGTTATGGAGGGAGTAGTAGGTAAATTTGGGGTGCCAGGGGTAAATGTAAATGGGGACCCTTTAATTGAGCTATGTGTAGAAAGAAATTTGGTAATAAGTAATACATATTTTATGAAAAAGAGGATAAATAAATATACAATATGAATGTAGCACGTAATGAAAGTAGTTTATTAGATTATGTATTGGGGGATAAAAGGTTGATGGGTAGGCTCCAGGATGTACATGTTATAGAGGGGCAACTGATATATCGGATCATTATTTATTTTGTAGCTACAGTTAGAGTAAGAGGTAGAGGGGAAAGAGGAAGGTGGCAACAACAAGTAAGAGGGAAGTGAAAGTGTATAAACTAAGGGAGGAGGAATTTTCGGGTGAGATATAACGACTATGGCAGAAAGGTGGGCTAGTGCAAAGATGAGTAGTGGGGGGGTTGAAGAGGGTTGGAATAGTTTTAAAAATGCAGTATTAGAATGTGGGGCAGAAGTTTGTGGTTATAGGAGGGTGGGGGCAGGAGGAAAGAGGAGTGATTGGGGAATGAGAAGTAAAGGGGTGATAAAAGAGAAAAAGGTAGCTTATGAGAGGTTTTTACAAAGCAAAGTGTTAAAAAGAGCAGAGAATGGAGATAAAAGAAAGGTAAAGAGAGGGGAGAGAGGGCAAAAGGAGAGCAGATGATAAGTGGGAGAGGCCTGTCAAAAAATTTTTAATGAAAAAAAAAAAAAATTTTGGGAGTGAGTAAAAAAATTAAAAAGCCTGGGGAAAATATGGATTTGTCAGTTAAAAACAAGAGGGGAGTTATAATGGGAGAGGGAATTGGGTAGACGAGAATTTTTTGAAACTTTTAAATTAAGGAAAAAACGAGGCGTAATTTCATACGGGTCAGGGGGGTATACCATCTTTTGGAGTAAAGAAGACGAATGTAAGTGTGGGGGAGGACGGAGGCATTACGTAAAATAAAAGGGGGGTAAAGCACGGGAACTGATGGGATCATGAAAAAATTTTAAAAAGCGGGGGGGGATATAGTTTTGGGTGGTGGTACTTTGTTTAAAAAATGTTGAAAAGGGGAAGGTACCTAGGGATTAAGACTTTTAAATTCCCTTTTTTAAAAAGGGGAAAAGGGGGACAAAAGAACGTAAAAATTATAGGGGAAATAACTTATGAGTAACCAAAAAAGGACGGAGGGTTTTATTTGAAAAAATTTAGGGGAAACAAATGAGGATTGGGGAGGCAAGGGGGTTTTAGAGGGGGTGGGGGAGTGTAATCGGGGTTTTACTTTGAAGCATATATTGAAAAATTTTTTAGATAAAGAAGGGGAATTTTTTATTGCTTTTATGGATTTAAAAAGGCATATATAGAGGGATGAGGACATGGGGGCAGATTTTGAAGATAGGAATAGGGGTAATTTTTTAAATGCTGTAAAAATTTTTATGAGGAAGTGAGGGCCGGTTAGGGTGTGTAGAAAGAGGGGGGGCTACTTCCCGGTAAAAGTAGGGCTTAGACAGGGATGGTAAAAGTCACCATGGTTTTTAATATATTTAAGAGGGGTTGTAAAGGGAAATAAATGCTAGGGGGTTTGGGGGAGGGGGGGGGATTAAAAATTTGGGAAACAAATTCAAAATGGGAATTGACACGTTCTTTTTGCTGATAACTGTGCAAAAGGGGTTCTAAAGAAAATTCAAAGGTTTGTGATAGTTTGGGGAAGTGTGTAAAGGTAGAAATTGAAAGTGAACATAGAAAAGAGTAAAGGGGATGAGGTGTCAAAAGATTTTTGATAAAGAAAAAATTGGGTATCAAATTGGGGGGGAGAGTATGGAAGAAGTGAATGTTTCAGAAATTTATTTGGGGGTTGACGGTCGGCGGAGGATTTATGAAGGGGAGTTAATCATAAATTGATGAGGGAAAAAAGGTGAGTGGTCGTTTAGGTATATGTGGAGTCAAAAAACTTATCTATGGAGCAAAGAAGGGAATGAAAAGAAAGTATAGTAGTACCAACACTCTTATATGGGGGTGAAGCTTGGTGGTAAATGCAGCAGCGAGGAGAGGGTTGGAGGCAGCGGAGATGTCCTGTTTAAGGGCAATGTGTGGTGTAAATATTATGCAAAAATTCGGAGTGTGGAAATTAGAGAAGGTGTGGAGTTAATAAAAGTATTAGTCAGAGGGCAGAAGAGGGGTTGTTGAGGTGGTTTGGTCATTTAGAGAGAATGGATCACAGTAGAATGACATGGAAAGCATATAAACTATAGGGGAAGGAAGGCGGGGTAGGGGTCGTCCTCGAAAGGGTTGGAGAGAGGGGGTAAAGGAGGTTTTGTGGGTAAGGGCTTGGACTTCCAGCAAGGGGTGCGTGAGCGGTTAGATAGGAGTGAAAAGGAGAC